TTTTATTATAATAAAATGGAGTGAAATTATAATCATAACATATACTAGTAAAATTATAATTATAACTTGTACTAGCAGAATTATAATCATAACTTGTACTAGTGAAATGGTCTAATATTATAAAAAAAAAAAATTAATAATAATAGTTTGGCTTGGTAAACTAAGTCTATATTATACAGCCTTTTGATGCAACTCTAGATCTACTCACTACAGCTTGATGCAACTTAATTCCTATAGAGGCATTCATTACAAAATTATTTAATTAGTAAAGTAGTATGCTAATACTAGTTTTTTTTTTATAAGTTTGCTTATATGCGAAGTTTTTAATTTTACAGTACTATATATTATAAATATTCGTTTAATATAGATCCCAGAATTTATCGGATTCAAATGTCTTTCATGCTTTTGTAGACCTTTCATAATTTGTATCTATAAATGTTTAGCAAGCAAAAATTTCTCTTATGCATGCTAATATACAAAGTTCAAAAACCTCTATACTTTAAAAATCTGATAAAATAAAAAAATCTCACAATATATCTTAATTTGATACTTAATAGTTTACAAATAATTTATAATATAACTTACATTTTAAATAGTTTTAATAATAATTTATTAATAAATACATCCAATCTTTATACAATTTTGCTTAATTTCAGGTATAAATTTTATACAAATCACAATAAATTTGTAAAATATGCAATTGTAAAGTTTGAATAATTAATAAAAAATGAAAAAAATATATAATAAATTAAATATAATATCTAGGGTTTATTGACAATATTTTAAACTTAGTAACTAAAAATTTTCAAAAAAAAGTCATAGTGTAAGTTATTTTAACAGAAGAAAATGTACCCACTCTAAGCTTAATCTCACACTTAATATGTAGTATATAAACATTATTTCAGAATCCCTCACAGTTTGGATCAGGTATGTTACCTTCTGTTATTTATTTTATAGGTTTCAAAAAAAAAAGAAACTAAACTGAAAAAATGTAGTTAACAGTTAATACTTTGTAGCAACAGATTTGAAGCTGCAAAACTTAATGCAATAACTTCGAGAAACTCAGCTTTGATTTCTATATATTGAAACCTGAAATCTCTTCAATAGCGATACCAAAATAACAAAAACTTAAAATTTCTTTGACAAATACCAAAATGATGAAAACTTAAAATTTCTTCAGCAAACACCAAAATAATGAAAACTTAAAATTTCTTTAACAAACACCAAAACAATGAAAACTTAAAATTTATTCAATGATGACATCAAAATGACGAAAACTTAAATTTCTTCGATAATAACACCAAAATGACAAAACTTAAATTTCTTTTACGAAAATGTCAAAATGATGAAAACTTAAATTTTCCAGTATCTATTAGGCAAACAAAAAAAAAAACTAAAATGTAAAATTATTTAAAATTATTAATAATAAATACAAAACTAATAAATAATAAAAAACACACTTAGAAGAATATTTAGTTTTAGCTAAACAGTTAGCTTACTCATTCTAGCCACCATGTAGTGGTGTATCCTATAATTAGGTTTATAACAACCTAAAGTTGTATCCTAAATAGAAACTAAATAGGATGTAGCAATAGATATCATGATTAACATTGTCTAATACAGAATAGTCCAATAACTTGGAATATTAACCAGTATCTAAAGAAGTACTCATAAGGTCTAGAGTTCAGCACATTGTATAATTAAGTTAAGGAGCTGCATTAAATAAGTCACTATTTTAACCACTCAACCTTTTGACTGCTTAAGAAAAAAACATAACAATACTTTCTAATTGGTAAAGTAGACCTTAAGCAGTGAATTCAAAAAGCTTACAAAAAAAATCTATTCTAAAAAAAACAAATATAAAAAAATTGGATATCGCTTTTGGTTCATTTAGGAAATTAATGTTTTTAATTGTAATATGGATTTAAAAATATAAGAGAAAAGATGATTAATGTTAAAATTTTTGAAAAAAAATTCTTTTACATATGTTTTTTTTTTTATTAATACGTCTACGCATTGACGTATTGTTTTAATAAAATTGCATGTATTGTTTCCAAATCGTGTATTGTTTCCAAATCTAATTACCAATCACGAGTTTCCCTAAAAAAAGGGGTCAACATTAGGTCAACATTAGGTCAACATTAGGTCAACATGTGTTGATCAACATAAAGACTTTTATTTGATTGGCTATATAATTTATGTAGATGAAGATAATATGTAGATAAAAACGTGACTATCAACCAACAAAATCAAATAAGAGGGTCATATCGATATGTGTTTATTTTGTAATAGTATTTAATAGTAATTAATATATTTTTATTAATAAAAAAATAATACGTAAGTTTATCGTAGGCTACAATTAATCGAGTATTCAAAAAAAGATCGCTCAAGTAACCTATCATGCAACATCCGAATATTAACGAACTAAACGTAGGGTGATAACGACATTCGATAAAATGCTAAAAAAACGGCATTGCTTGTGGGCTAAAGCTCTAAATATTATTTCTATTACTTATAAATAGGGATGTTAAGTAGTCTGACCAGTAGTCTGACCAAGTGATCAAAATTTATATTAAACCACGGTTGTTAAAGTACTGACTAGCTAGTTAAACTAGCTAGTTCTATTGAAATAGATCACATTCATCTCTACGTATAAAAAATAGCATTTAAAGTTTTATAAATGGTTATTATTATTATTCAGAGCTCAAAATTTCCGGGTGATGTAACCTGTTTTTGTTTTCGGTAAACGAAATTTAGAACCTTTTGCAATATATTTATAGCTGTTCTCATAAATTTTTGAACATCTAGTGAAAAATTGACCGAATGATTGTTTGGCCGATTCAATAAGTTCGTGATTCGGGTCTTCTGGAAGCTTTTCAACACATCCATATCTTTGAAAATATTTGAAAATTTAACTTACGAAAGACCTGCTAACAGCTAGATGTCTGGCAATTGCCAAGCCTTTCAAGTGTTTTTTAACGATTGTCCAACGAATATAATCGCTCATTACCGAAATCACAACATTATAAAATTTCCGGCTGCTTTAAAATTACGCCGGAAACTTACTAAACGAAACCTCGGGTATTTTTATGATCTAATATAATTGAAAGAAAAATTCCTTACAAATAGAACAATAATTATGTCTAAGATTTGCAACAGCTTCACTATCATCATCATTAAGTTGATAGGCAAGTGATGTTTTCATTTTCTAAAATATTTACTTGCTCATCTTGATTTATATTCTCTTTCGCTTTATTATTAGTTTACGACGGACCTACCTCTTTTCTGATTCACTTTTTCGATAATCTAACTGTTGTTCTTCAGTTATTGAACTTTTTCGTTTCTTTCTCGATTCATTTCTTATAGTTATTTGTTCGCTGGATAAGTTCTTTTTTTTTTTTGCATTTTAATCCAAATAAAAAAAGAACGTACCCAAAAACCTTCTTTTATTTATTCAAAATACTTGCTTATGATATTATAACATATTTATGATAATTCTTATTTTCTAATTGACAAATTACTTTATTAATACTTATGATGATATTCGATACAGAGTAATTCTTACTTTCTAATGACAAACTATTTTTTTATTAAAAGTCAGTTTATATATTCTATTAAAAGTCAGTTTATATATTCTATTAAAAGTCAGTTATTATATTCTATTAGAAGTCAGCTATTATATTTAAACAAAGAATCAGGTATCCAAACTTTTATCCTAATTTAAGCTCAATTCTGGTTATTGAACCTAAAATTTGGGTCTGACATTTTTGAAAATTCAGTATAGTAGCACTGTAGCATTTGAAAGGCTTTCTTCTCACTTTCCCTCAGCTCCAGCCAATTAATGGATTGCTCAAGTATCAATTAAGTATAGTAAATGAGCATTGTCATGTTTATTGTCCGGAACGAAGCAGAACTTTGTGCATAGTTATACAAAAAGTTACGGTTTTGATGCATTCTAGATTAAAACATCAAAAAATGTTCTGTTCGTCCAATCACATGATCTGCATTATAAACAAAACATCGATTTATCTAATCTAAGTTCTATTGCTCTAAATCCTATTCTAAATTTATTGCTCTATTCTATTGTTCTATTCATCTATTGCTGCCAACACTATGTTAATCCTATTCTTTATGCTCCAGTTTCCGATTCCTAGTTAGCTAATCGCAAACTTTAATTTGCTTATTCGATTCGCTATCACGTCGAAGTTGAGCTTGAGAACGTCTTATATATGGCTATTTTAACTATTACTAGCAATAAATAATAAAATCTATGCTTCTAAGCGAACTTCTCATGATTTATTTTTACAAAGTGAATCTATAAATGGCGATTTTCCATTAGTACAATTAATTTACATAATGATAAGCAATCATACGAACTTCCTACGTATGAATTTCCATAAAAAGCTGTTCCTAGCTTTAAAAAAAGTATTAAAGAGCCAACTTTAAAAGTACTCTCTAGTTTAAAGGAGTTAAATGACTTTCGAAATAGATATAAAAAAAATTAAGCTTGACCTGAATTTTTTCAATAACTCAAAATTTACATATGAAAAATATTCCTTATATACAGGAAGAATGATTCCTGACCTCTGATTCAATCATGATGTTAAATTTCAATAATTTTACGTAATTTTATGCTTTAATTTTTCAGTGGTTTATGAGTTACAATTCGGATCTCGTACATTCAAATCAAATGAGCTGGCAGAACTTTTGTAAATCTGGTACTTTTGTATGACATGATGAAAATTACATGAAATTTAATTTTCTGAAACATGTAATGTAGAATTGTAATTTATGTAACACAACCCTATTCTTTACTTAATGGGCGGCCGCGATTTCATTAGCATTAGTAAAAATTTGAGTAATTTTGGCCTAAATTTTGATCGTCGCCGTTGGCCAATCAAAATCGAGGATCATCCGCACGGCATCTAGGTTTGATAAATGATGTGAAATCATGATTTAGTCTACTTTTCTTGAGACATACATAACATACATACGTTATTATGAGTCAGCCAGTAAGAGTTTTAAAAAAAACTTTACGCAAAGAAATGAGTAATATTCTCAACCAAATTCCTCCAGAGAAAATTGAGGAAGAAAGTATGTTTATAGGCTTTTTAGCGAGACTAATCTAGCTTTTAAGAGTAGCTATTAAACCTTCTTTCACGCAGGCAATATTGTAACAGAAAAAGTAATTTCTTCACAACAATATCAATCAAGCACATACATAAGTGTGTACCTTAGTATGCCAAAAGCCGAAATATCAACAAAATCTATAGTTTATGATATATTTAATCAAGGTATAATAATTACCACTTCATAAAATGTATTTCTTTCTCGCGTAATCGATCAATCAATTAATTATTTGTTAGGAAAAATATGTTATGTTCCACGTTGGGATGGAGAAAGTATGGAAATGGTCAAACTTGAGTCTTTGGACGATTATTCATCACTCAAACTAAATAAATGGGGTATCCAAGAACCAGATCATGATCAAATTCGAGATACTGGTACATGAACCATAAAATTATTGAAATTTAAAAAGTTACTTCTTTCAATGATCAATTTAATATAATTATATCTTATAATTATTACAGCAACTCAATTGGACTTGATTATAATGCCTGGTAATATATATATATATATATATATATATATATAAGGATACTATAAAAAGGAAAACTCTTTCAAAAAAAAATAATAATAACTATTAATTAACAGGGCTGGCATTTGATCTCAATAGAAATAGACTTGGTCACGGCAAAGGGTAAGAATTTTTACAGGTTGATTTTCGGTGGTTTAAGCTAGCTTATTTAAATTTTGGTTTGGATTCATGTTTATGTAGTTATTATGATGGATATTTGACGAAATGTCGACAATGGGCTAAACCACCACTAACTAGTAAGTTTATATACTGTATATTACCTTATAAAAGCAACCAAAAAAAAAATCAAAAATTGCGATCTAAAGCGGTGTCTGAAATTAAAATTTTAAATTAGTTGCGGTGTATAAACATTTAATTGCGTATGTAAATATTTAATCAAAATCCATAGGCAAATTTGCAAATTTATATGTTGAATTCGCAAGTTTTAGTAAATTTTATTGTAGTTCACAGACTCCGCAATCCAATTTCAGACACTGATCTAAAGTAAAGTTGCTAATATTCAGGTTTAATTGTGTTAGTAAGATTTTCAGTTCCAAAATTGGGATGGTTGCTTTTGTGTAATATATGATATATTTTGATAAGTTTTAATATTGTTATTCTTAAATATTGTTATTCTTATATATTGTTTATCATATTTAGTGGCTCTAGCCTTAGACAGCCAAATATTAAAAGATAAAGATGTTCCAGTGACTAATCATGACCAAAAACCTGATTTCATCATATCACCATACCATGATATTGGTATTTAATATACTGATACGTATACGTACGTACTGTACATATCGATATCGATAGAGTAATTATCATATTAGTGCAGATCATTATCTACGTAGCACTAGTTCATTTTAAAAATGGTCTTAAATTTTTGTGAAATGTTACATATATTTTTAAGGTGCATATGTATAAATAAAACTGTAATGATAAACTTATCAGAAATCTAGAATTGTGTTTGCCTACATGCGCATGCAGTTAAAATTACGTAGTATAAATAAACAAAAAAAATCGATTACTTAAAGTGGTGTTAACGTTAAAGGAAAATACTTATTTCTACAAGTGATACCAACCGCATGAAGTAATAAACATTTATAATATTGTATTTACACTAATTATCCGCAAAATTATTATAAGATTAGGATTAGAGGTCAGAATAGAGCATAGCATAGCTTACATTAAAATGCTGCATGGGATTTTTTTTTTTATTCGAACGTAAAAAGACAGTTTCTTGTAGAAATTCGATTCGATTAATCATATGACGGATCATGTTCGTCCTTTTCGTTTTTTTAAAACAATTATTGATGAATTCTGATTCTTGTTACCTGCTATAATTGATTACATTAATAAATTAGATAATCAATAATTAAACCAATTGTTACGTAACTATAACTAAAAAAAATTTTTTTTAAGTTTGTATCACTTGCAGAGATAAGATGCGGATTAAAGTTTGGCGTTTATTTTGACTCACTACATTGCCCATTTTCAATTTCCCTATTTAGGAATTTACTAAAGATCGGTCAAAATAAAACTTACTGCCAAGACCTACTTTTTAGAACATTAATAAAAATTATAAAAATTTCAAGAGAACAATTTTACACTCATGGCATAGTAATCGCTCTACCTTAACCTCAAACATCCAATTTCAATCAAATCCTCTAACATCCAATTTCAATCAAAGAGTGACCGGTCATATAGTAAATAACTTTTTAGCTAGCATTCTCCTAATAAAAAAGTTATTATTTGAACTCCAGTCTGTTACATATAACCGAATAGTGTAACATGTAACCACAAAACGGAAAACAGGAAAACGCGAATTTTATGTAATAATATTAATAATATTCCTATTTAAGTATTCTCCAATTTAGGCAAATTGAATTGTGTTCGAACAAGATAAGTAGTACTTGGTCAAATATCACTATTTAAATTGGAAAGCTACGTTTTTTTTTTTTTTTTTTTTGAGCTTACTCCTTCTGAAACAGACACACTTTATCATGTCACAGCAAGGAAACACACTGACAAAAAAATTTAATAGAAGAGAGATCATGGCAATGCTTAAGCTTCTTAATGGACTTTCTTCCGACAAAATTGCGAAAGACAGTAAGTTAATAGCATTTGACGAGAATAATTTATATTCCAAAGTGAAGTATCATAAGTATTAACCATTATTATTTATATAGGCATCTTAATAACAACAAGGATAATGTATTCAGAGGAATATCAGAAAAGCAGAAGCATAGCCGTGTACCTTAGTGGACCAAATGAATTTTCAACAGAATCTATAATTCATGATATATTTAGCAATGGTATCATAATTACCACTTCATAACATATATTTGTTCCGCGTAACCAGTCAATTAATTATTTATTTATTATTAGGAAAAAAATGTTATGTTCCGAGTCGTATTGGAGAGAGGATGGAAATGGTCAAACTTGAGTCTTTGGAGGATTATCGTTCAATTGGTCCAAACAACTTGGATGAATTAGGTTTCTTAAAACACAATAACCAAAACCGAGAAATTGGTATCCAAATCATAGATTATAAATTTATGAAATTTAAAATTTATTTCATTTAATCTAATTATATTTATAATTATTATAGCAACTCATTTAGATTTAATTATAATGCCTGGTAATTAATGCTCTATTTTTTTTTTTTAAAGATATTATATAAAAACTTTAATTAATATAACTACTGTATTAATTAATAGGAATTGCATATGATTTTAATGGTAATAGACTTAGTAACGACAATGGGTAAGAATTTTATAAGTTAATTTATATATATATATTTAAGTTCGCTTATTTAATTCATTTGCGTTATATTAATGGTAGTTCTTACGATGGTTATTTGGCGAGATGTCAAAAATGGACAACACCACCAAAAACTAGTAAGTTTATAAATATATTTTGGTAAATCCTTAATATTCATTATTACTATATACTAATACATATATTGCTTATTATGTTTAGTGGCTCCTGCCTTTGATGTCCAAATATTAAGGGAAGAAGAGCTTCCAGTAACTGAATATGCTCAAAAACCTGATATCATTTTAACACCAACACAACTTCGGTAGTGAAGTAATATTTGAATATCGTATTTCTATTATTTAAAGATAAATTTGCATAAAAAAAAAATTCAATTATTGACTATATACACAGTGGTTCTCGATATACCGGATATTGCTTTGTACGGAGAATTATAATGGAACCAAATTATGATTTACTATAATATCTGATATATTACGGAGCTTTTGATATAACGGAACAAAGGACTGGAACCATGGCCTCCGTTATATCGAGAGCCACTGTGTATACTGTATATACAAAATAATCTGCATTTTTTAAAGCTCATAAATCATTATTTATGTGTATTATCCAAGGATAATCGTAATTACTGATTTTTGTAAATCATCCTGAATTTGTTTTGCAGACAAAATTACATTTTTTTTATTAATAAATGATATATTAAACCCGAAAATTTAGTTCAATATTCGCAAAAAAAAAATTTTATCTGTCATTCAACTATTTCAAAAACAATGATAATAAAATATATTTGTCTTATTGTCTTTACCCTTGACCACTGTATATAGTATCCTTCAAAAATAAACCCTATGGTATCTATAGGCTAACTTTCTTCTGATTGGTCGATCACTTACAATTGTATTTATACAAATAAGAGTATTTAGAATGTAACATTTCACGAGTAAAAAGTGAAAATTGAAAACGTTTCTATCCCTAATAAAACTTCAACAGTTTCTATGCAAAATAATTCCTAATTTAAAAATGTTTTACTTAGAAGACAAAATTTATATATATATTATAACAGATCTCTTGTACGTAGTATGAATAACTAGTGTTCTTACGAACTAAACTGAACTTGGATTTTTTTTAAAAAAAGCTCATTTTAAGTTCAATATCGAACTTTTAAATCAGGTTCAGGTTCAGTTTAGGTTTAGTTTAGATTCAATAATCTATATATATATATTTTATTAAGGATTGGAATCGCAGCCGTTTAACCGTTTTAATTGTTTAATTTTGGCTGGTATTAAACTAATTCCGGTCATGACCAATATAATTTTGTTCAGAATTATGAAGCAATTTTTTAACAGTTAAACGGTTTCAATCACTAATTTTTATATATAAAATAATATTATTTAAAACATAAAGATAAAATTAAATAGTAAAGTTTTAAGAATTATAGAATATTAATTAACTCTTTCTAATGATCTTTTAATCAACAACAACAAAAAATTAAATTATAGAAAAATATTATAATAAGACATAAAAAATAATATTTTTAATTCTATATAAAGTAAGTTGTTTGTTAACAAAACCAAAGTTATAAAATACTGAAAAGCAAGTATATTTTTAGTACAGTCATCTTTCTATACAGTTATTTTTTATACAATTACAAACTTTATACAATTACATAGTTTTATGTTACTAATTTTTTTATTATTAAAAACCTTTATATATAATCACAAAATATTTATAATTATTATTACATATTTATAGATATTTTTAATAATAATATTTTTTTATACAATTATATTTGTAGTAAATATTTTATGAACTGTTGTAAATATTATTAATTAGCATAGTGAAACTATAGTAATATAAAGGATGTGGTGACTTAGTGAAGTGGATAAGTTGTCAATCCTTTAAGTGATAGGTTGAGTATTCAAATTCCATCAATAGTAAAATTTGGATAATTATCTATATAATACTTGTATTATGACAACTGTTTTTAATAATTAGATTAAAATATCTGTAATAACAGTTATATTAACATAACTGGTAGGTCATGGGGCATCTATGTAATTGATTATATAAAAGAATGCAAACTGACATCAAGTAGTATAAATTCTAAATAAATCCTTATAGCTATATAAATCTGTTAAAATTGAGAAACAAAAAGTCTATTTGAAAAGACCTAAATAGAAAAATATAGATTTTTGATAACATTATTGTAAAGACTAAACCAAAAAAATAAATACCAATATTAAAGTATTTGAATGAGCAAGAATCTTTAGATTAAAAGTCTCAGAAATATTACCAATTAGGTTACTAAAATAAACTAAAGAAAAAGAATATTAGATTAATTTAATATACTAATAAACATTATATTTTATACAGACTATCTAGATTAGAAGTCTAAAAAATAGTTAGAGGTATATTAAAGTATTGAAAATATTTTATAAAATAGATTCTATAATTAAGTAAACTCTACAAGAACATAATAGTTAAATAATATAACTTTGACTATAAGTGTTGATTCTGTTATATTAATATTAGATCAGTTATAAAAATATATACAGAAAATTTCAAAAGGTTTAACTTTAAGATAAAATAGTTCTAAGTTTAAGACAATGATCTGAACATGACCTGAAAATATTAATACAGATGCACGAAAAAATTCTGTGCCAGGTTGGTGGCACAGCAAAATTGTTTAAAGTTCATTAACGTTCGGGTTAGCGTTTAGAATAAGTTAAATAATGAATAGTTATATAGTAAAATTGCTCAAGGAAAACCTTCTGTTAGAGCACTAAAAGTGGTTTTTTATGCAGTTTTTAAGAAATAAGCAATCTTTGACAAAACGAACGTTTGTTTTGAACTTTTCTGATCGTGTTACGTTACACCTGATCCTTGAAATATGATTTGTAGATTGACAATCTGCACCATAATGATCGACAAAACCTGGCACAGAATTTTTTTGTGCAATACAGATACAGGTTCAAAAGGTTTAAAATAGAACATCTAAGCAAATATGTTAGATATAGCAATTAGTAATGAAACTTTAAGCAGACTTCTTAAATAAATAATATAAAAAAGTTAAATATGTAACCAATTGTATATTTTTTTTGTAATAGTTTATAGAATTATATTATTAAAAAAGTTATTAATAAAAGTCAAAAAACCAAAAAGGTCACCTTAATATCAAAAAAAAATTATAATAATACATAATATTATAATATATTATTAAATATTTTTATATTTTACAGTTCTATATCTATAATATTTTTAATTAAAATTTTTCTAATGATATTATGTTTATAAAATAATTTTGATCCAGTATTTTTACAACAGTATATTATTATAAAAATATTATTATAAACATTTATAAACAAATATATATAATTATAAAATATATTTAAAATATACTAAAAAATTGTATATATTTATTGTGATAAGAAAAATTGATAACAATTAATACTAAGATAGTTTGAATAAATTTAATTAAATTGTTAGATTTATTAATATATAAGATATAGCAAATATAATTAACATATAACAATAAACCTTTAAATTCTTGTTTTAATAAAGTTATTTATATATAAAATTAGATTAATTTAACTATAATTAATATTATTTTTAAAACTTATATAAATGATTCTATAATATATAACTTTTTTAAAGCTTGTTAATTAAGGTGTAAAAAAATATTCTAATAGAATTAAGTTAGATTTAATACTTTAGTAATCTAGAATTTAGTTTAGATCACAGATAAAACTGTCTAAGCTTTAATTCTTGCATGTAGTTTTTATTTAGTAGCTATAATCTTAGTATATCTTAGTATATAGTATATTAATATATACAACTAAAATTACTAATAAAGATATGAGAAAGACTTTACCTTAATACCAAAAAAAAAAAAGTAATCTAGAATAAATTTCAGAATTTAGTTTTAAACAAAATCTTGTTTAATCTAAATCTTAAAACTTTTTAATTAAAAAATCTAATCTAAAAATCTGTATAACAATATCTAAAAATCTTAAAATTAAAACTAATTATACTATCTTTAGCAAAATATAAAATTTATTGTAATATATCAAAGATTTTGATAATTTTAACTTGATTTTTATTAGTTAAAAATTTTAAAAAAACATTTATAAAAAAAAATAATGTTATCTTAAAATTTTTATACTAATCTTTATCTATCTAATATATTTTAACATTGTTACAAAGTAGATTTTTAGTATAGCATAGTATATTATATTATTAGTAGTTATTA